CCGCTCTCCTTCCAGGGATCGCAGGACGCCCGGGAGGCTGCGGGGAAAGGGGACACAGAGTTGAACGAACACCCACCCCCCCTCACCCGGGGCACAGGCCGGGCTGGACGACCCCACGACGGGTTTAATTATTTCACCGTCCTCTTAAAAAAAAAAAACCCGGCAAAGCGAAAACTTTGCACCTCTGGTGGTTTATCCCTGTTTTTTTCCCCCCCCTCCCCGTCCTCCTCCTCCTCGGGGCGCGTCGGGCACAGCCGGGCCCCGCGGGACGAGCACATTTCCCACGGCTCCCGGGGGTTATTTTTATCCCGCCGGGCGCATCTGACTCCTCGGGAATGAAACGGCCTCTAAAAAAAGGAGTTGACCGGGCGGTGCCCCCCTCGCGGGCTGGGACTCCTGCCGGGGCTCCCCATCCCCTGGGATGGCTGCCGGGGATCGGGATCACCCCCCAGGGCGATGCCAGGGCTGTCCCTGGCCCCGGCTGGAGGGGCTGGAGGGAAGGGAACGGAGCTGGGAAAGGGGCTGGAGCAGCAGGAATATCTGAGGGAGATGGGGGGGCTCATCCCAGAGAAAAGAGGGATCAGGAGGGACCTTTTCCCACCCCACAGCTCCCTGAAAAGAGGGGGGAGCCAAGGGGGAGTAAGGCTCTGCTCCCAGGGAACAAGGGATAGAAGGAGAGGGAACGGCCTCCAGCTGTGCCAAGGGAGGCTCAGGTGGGATATTGGGAACAATTCCCACATGGAAAGGGCTGTCAGGCACTGGAATGGACTGCCCAGGGCAGGGCTGGAGTCGCCATTCCTGGAGGGATTTCCAATCCCTGTGGATGTGGCTTGTGGGGACATGGGTCGGGGTGGCAGTGCTGGGGGTGGTTGGACTCCATGATCCCAGAGGGATTTTCCAACCTGAACCATCCCTAAGGATTCTGTGCCATCCTGGCATTGTCCCAGCTCTCCACAATTCCCTGGAAGGAAGTTTCAGGAGGTGGAGGGTCCCCAATTCCCAGGGAACAAGGGACAGGAGGAGAGGGAACGGCCTCCAGCTGGGCCAGGGGAGGCTCAGGTGGGATACTGGGAACAATTCCCACATGGAAAGGACTGTCAGGCATTGGAAAGGACTGCCCAGGGCAGGGCTGGAGTCGCCATTCCTGGAGGGATTTCAAATCCCTGTGGATGTGGCTCTTGAAGACACGGGTCAGGGATGGCCTTGGCAGTGCTGGGGGTGGTTGGACTCCATGATCCCAGAGGGATTTTCCAACCTGAACCATCCCTAAGGATTCTGTGCCATCCTGGCACTGTCCCAGCTCTCCACAATTCCCTGGAAGGAAGTTTCAGGAGGTCCCCAAATCCCAGGGAACGAGGGACAGGAGGAGAGGGAACGGCCTCCAGCTGGGCCAGGGGAGGCTCAGGTGGGATATTGGGAACAATTCCCACATGGAAAGGGCTGTCAGGCACTGGAATGCACTGCCCAGGGCAGGGCTGGAGTCGCCATTCCTGGAGGGATTTCAAATCCCTGTGGATGTGGCTTGTGGGGACACGGGTCAGGGATGGCCTTGGCAGTGCTGGGGGTGGTTGGACTCCATGATCCCGGAGGGATTTTCCAACCTTAATCATCCCTAAGGATTCTGTGCCATCCTGGTACTGTCCCAGCTCTCCACAATTCCCTGGAAGGAAGTTTAATAAGGTGGGGGTCCCCAATTCCCAGGGAACAAGGGACAGGACAAGAGGAAAATGGTCTCCAGCTGTGCCAGGGGAGGGGCAGGTGGGATATTGGGAACAACTCCCACGTGGAAAGGGTTTGTCCAGCTGCCCAGGGCAGGGCTGGAGTCCCCATTCCTGGAGGGATTTCAAATCCCTGTGGACGTGGCCCTTGGGGACACGGGTCAGGGGTGGCCTTGGCAGTGCTGGGGGAGCGGTTGGATTCCGTGATCCCAGAGGCCTTTTCCACCCTATAGAATTCCGCCATTCCACAATCCTGGTACCACCCCGGCAGCTCTTCAGCGCCAGGGCCGAAGAACAAACGCAGGCAGCGATTCCCGGGAGGGACACGGAGCGCGTTCTTCCTCCCCGTTTCCCTCCGGAATTCCGGGGTTCCGCAGGGCGGGCACTCACGGGGGAGGCCGCTCTCGCCGGCGGGAGGGCTCTGCACCACGGGGCTGCAGGACAGGCTCGTCAGCACCAGGGCTGCCACCATCTCGTCCATCTCCACGGCGGCGTCGCCTTTCCTGCGTCCAGAGGGTTGGGAAAACACGTGGAGGGAAAAGCGGGAGGAACCGCCCGGATACAACCCCGGAGATCCCGACCCGTAACTTCGTCCCCCCCCCCCTCAGCGACCTTCCCATCAGGATGGGAAAGGGGAAAAAAAAAAAAAGAATAAATTAAAAATTAAAAATCCCCCTTAATCCTAAACGTAACCACCCCCTGGATAATCCCGGGTACATCCATGGCATCACCGCGAGTCCCTCTCCCGGCCCGAGCGATCCCGCCGGGAAGAGGCACGGACCTCTTGGGAACGTCGATGCTGCTGGACACGGATCTCTGCAGGATCTCGGCGGGAGGTTGGAGCGCGTCCTGCACCCTCCAGCAGCCCTGCGAGCCCCGCTCTGGCAGCAGCACCTTCCCCTGCTCACATTCCTGCCCGCTGGAGGTGGCGAGGACCTGGAAAAGGCACGAGGAGGGATTGGTGTCGCCCGCCATCCGTGTCCTCCCAAAGGATCCCTCCGCCTGCTCTTCCCACAGGAAAAGGCTTCGGGATGAAGGCTGATCCTGTCCTGAAGGGCTTGGACTTGACTGATGTCCCAGCAGACCAGAGGGGTGGTCAGGGTTCATCCCGACCCACCGCCAAGAGATCTTTCTCCCCCCACAACTCCAGCGATCCCAGGCTGAGGGAATTCCCGAGCTGGAATCAGCCGCCTCCGAGCGCTGTGGCTTTGGGTGGACTTTTCTCCAAGGAATTTGTCTGCTCTGGGTTCATTCCCACACCATCCCACGATTGCCAAAAGGATTAAAACCTGGAAGGGGGGGGGGGAACAAGGGAGCGGAGGCTTCCTGGGCGAAGCGATCCCGAATTCCCACCTTGGCTCCTCCACTCCCAGCTCCCTCGGGCAGGGAAAGGAGATGTGCAAACCTCACCTCCTCCTTCCCAGAGTGCCAAACTCCTCCTGATGGGCACTTTTCCACCACTACCAGCCTGATCCTATCTCTGTTACAAAGGAAATGCATCCGTGCCGACGGACGCTCCGTGTGTTCCCGGCTATTTCTGGGAATGGGAGCATCTCCTCATGGAAGTGCCGCGGGTGTCACACCAAGGATGGACACAGGATGGGCACACACACACACACAGAAACCGGGGTGGAAACACTCCAGCAGAAACTGGGGTGGAAAAAGCCCTCCCGAGGCAGGATCAAGGTGAAGGGAATCAGCGCGAGGATTGAGACACGGGAAATCCTGACCCTGCTTCCTGAAAACACGGATCGAGGCGTGCGTGGATCGAGGTTGTGTTGAGGAGCCACAGAACCACTCGGGGGCCCTCCAGTTTTGCCCAGAGGGGGTTTTATGGATCCCCAGGGAGCAGCCAGGATTTGGGATCTACGTCTCCTCTGGCCAGGAATTAACAGGAACTGCTCCAGTGGGATTAAGAGCGATTGCTATTCCCTATCCCAGGCAGTGTCCTGGCCAAGGCCAGGCCCTCCTGAGCATCAGGAGCCCAGGACACGTGGAATGTGGGGGGGTAATTCCCGCCTCACTCCTCCCTTTTTCATCCCAGACATCCAAACCATCGACCCTCAACCTGGACTGAGCTCCAAGGGCTGAGCCGGGAGGGGGCTCCTTGAAACTTCCCTTCGGATTTGAAGGTGGGTTATGGGCAAGTGGGGTAAATTCACAGGAGAGAAGCTCGCTGGGAGCCACTTCAGGTATCAAAACCTCAACCTCAGACAGCTGGAGAAAACAGGAGGGAAGTTATCAGGTGTTATTCCCTCCTCTCTGGAGACCCATTTCTGGTTGGGATTGGGGATATCTCCGGAGGGGATGGATCTCTGCTTGAGCATCAACAACAACACCCACTAAAGATTCCTGGGAATTGCCCGTCCCCGCTGCATTTCCCATCAGGAGAACTCCAGGAGCTTCCCAGCACATCCCACCGGCCCAGGACGTACCTGCTGCCCGGAGTGGAGCTGCCGGAGGCCGGAGAATCCGGGAGCCCGGCCGTTCTCCTCCGCGGAGAGCGCGCAGGATCCGTCCTCGGGGGCGGCGGGAGCCCGGCCCGGCTCGGGCTGCAACCCCGGGATCTGCATCCCGTCGGCAGGGACGCGGGTGCCGAGCAGGGAGCGCTTCCCCAGACGCCGGGACAGCGCGGTCGCCATGGCACTGAGGGGAGAGGAACGCGGGGACGTCACAGAAGCACGGAATCCACCAGGTTGGAAAAGACCTCCGAGATCATTTGAGTCCGACCTACGACCGAACACCACCTCGTCAACCAGACCACGGTACTCGGTGCCACATCTCCAGTCTTTCCTTAAACATCTCCAGGAACGGTGGTGACCCCACCGCCTCCCTGAGCAGCCCATTCCAATGCCCGACCACTCTTCCCTGTGAAGAACTTCCTGATGTCTAACCTAAACTTCCTCTGGACACAAGACTGTGGCCTCTTGCCTACTGCTTGTTGCCTGGGACAAGAGACCGACGGTCATCCGGCTACAACCTCCCTTCCCGTCTCCCCTGAGCCTCCTCCTCTCCAGGATGAACAACCCCAGTCACCTCGGCTGCTCCTCACAGGACTTGTGCTCCAGACTCTTCATCAGCTTCTCTGAGCACCTCAATGTCCTTCCTGAATTCCGGGGCCCAGAACTGGATGCGGCACTCACGGCAAGGCCTCACCAGTGCCAAGAACAGGGGAAGAACCACTTCCCTAGTCCTGCTGGCCACGCTGTTCCCGATCCAGGCCAGGATGCCATTGGCCTTCTAGGCCACCTGGGCACACTTGCTGGCTCCTGTTCAGCTTCCTGTCGATCCAAACCCCCAGGTCCCTTTCTGCGTGGTCCCTTTCTGACCACGGAGCTCAGCCGGCGTCTTCCCAAACCATCAATGGGAGCCGGGAAAGCCCTGCGCTCCCAGGCACCGAGATTCCTCGGGAAAGAGCTCCCATCGACCCGCAGCTCGGCCTCGTGGCCGCTTCTAAATCCTTCTGGGGACAAAACAGGGATGTTTTGTTCCCTTTTCCCCAGCCCAAAGGAAAGCCCGTGGATGCACTGGGACAGCGCTGGGAGCCTACGTTCCCTCCGGAGCCGCCGCGATCCCGAGGCCGCCGCGGCTCTTCCCGCCTGTCCCGCTTCAAACCTGACCTCCAGACTTGGGTCCGTGCCCGGCGCATCCTGCAATTCCCTGCCCTGAAAAACTCTCCCGTCAGCAAAACCCAGCGCCCCTTCCCAGCTGGCGATTCCAACGCTCCCCTTTTGGGGAAAGGTTTCTCCTCGTGCCCGGCCCTCCCAGAGCGGATCCGGCGGCAAAACGGGAGCATCCTCCTGCCCTGCTTTGTTGGAAAAGGGAGGCTCGGGAGCGTTTTTATCCCAAAGTGTTTCTCTGCGATGATCTTCAACCTACTTTGCCTCCAGGCACCGGGAATGGGATGTATCCAGCCACATCCCTGCTAAATCCAACGGCTCCGGCAGCCCTGTCACCGAGTGACAGCGTTTTAATGGCAGATGCCACCTTGTTTTGGGGGGGTTTTTCGGGATTATCTCGGATGAGAAAAGCCTCCCCGAGGCACAACGGGGAGCTCTGGAGCCGCCCCAAGAAAGGTTACTCCGAGCCACATCCCGCTTCAAAGGACTTCCCGGGATTCGCGGGCGGGTTTTATGGATAACCGAACGCGCTCCGCTCACTCCGTCCCGCCCCGGAATCCCGGGTAGAAAATTAACAGCGACAAAGGGACGGAGCAGGAAGAGCAGGACAGGGTGTGAAGCGGGATCAGGGGCGTGCCAGGGGAAAGCACCTCGTGCCAGGGCTGCCCGCAGGGATTTCGCCACCGGCGGCACCTTCCCTCTGGAGCGGGATCAAAGCGGCCGCTCTCCCGGCTTCCCTCTCATCTCGCCCCGCCCGGGAATACGCCGGATTTCGGGATTTCGCAGCGTACGGGGGGTGCTCTTGAACCCATTCTTTTTTGTGTGTGTTTTCCTGACGAATCCACGCGGGAATCGCTCATCCCAAGGGACACCGGGAAGGCCGGGAGGGGGACACGGCGGTGGCACATCCCAGAGCGAAGTCCCTCCGCCGGCACCGACCATCCCACACGTTTCCTCCCGTATCCACCGGGAAAAACCTCAGCGCCGGGATATATCCCGGGATTTTGGGAGTGTGGAAACCGGTGCCGGATCTCGGCCGCTTTCCCGCCCGGCTCCGAGGCAGCTCCTGGCGGGCAGCCAGGAGGGCAGCGCCGAAGGTGGAGAGGCTGCTTCTCATTTCCTTCGGGCTTTTCCCTTGGCCTTCCCTCTTCCTTTCCCCCCTCCTGCCTCCGGCCCGGGAATGGAGCGGGAAGGAGGAGAGAGGGGGGGAAGGAAAACCCTCCCAAACTTTTCGGAGCCACATCTGCTCCCGGCAGACCGTTGAAGCGCCGGATCCCATTTGGGGCGCCCCCGGGGGCGGGGAGAAAACACCGAGGCCAAAAAGAAAAAAAAAAATCCTTCTCCTCCATCCACGTCCCAAAACACGGGAACGAGAAGAGGAGCGGGAGCTCGGGAAGGCAGGCGGGGCCCGGGGAGGCCACGCTGCCTCCGGAGCCCTCCCAGCTGTTCCCAATCACGCGCCGCAGGGGTCAGAGCCGGCACAGATCCCAAATTATTCCCCTGCTCCGACGCCCGGGCGTGTATTTTGGCCGGCGTTTTTCCAGCTCTCGAGCCTGGAGGGGGGGGGGGGAGGAAACGTCAGCCCCTTGTGTCAGCCCCTTGTGCCCGGGAACCGGCTTTGGGAAAGCGGGAGCCCCGTTTGGCAAACGAGGAACGCTTGGATTAGCAAGGCAAGGGACGTGGTAAAAGCGGGGAGGGTGTCCCAGTGCTCATCCCGGCTCCTGTTTGCCCGGGGTTTGCCGGGAGAAAGGCAGCTCCTGCTTTCCCTGCTGCACGACCAGGACCACCGGCGCAAATCCCCTCTCCGGAGAATGTGCAGTTAGAGCACAACCCGTTTTCTTCCCTGGTTTTTTTTTTTTTTTATGGATAAATTGCTGGTAGGTCTCCTCAAATCCAGCCTAACTCCTGCCACGGATCAACAACCTGGACCACAAAGTCCAGGCTACAACAGACCCCAAACGCTGCTGCCAAGAACTGATAACGAGCCCAGTTTTTCCCCTCTCCCGGCTCTCCGTTTCCAAAAAAGCCCCTTCTCATCCCAAAATATCCCGAAGCTCTTCGCAAACCGCGCTCCTGCCCCATGGGACTGGGAAAGGAGATTATCCACAGGGATATATCCCCAGGGATCTCTCGTTTTTACAGAGTTTGGGCCTGTATTAAACCAAGAGGCGACAAGGATCTGCCGAGCCCGAGTCGGAACCAAAAAATCCCGACGCTCCCGGACAATAACACAAAACAGGCGCTTCCAAGAGTTTCCTCCTGATTCCACCTCGTTTCACAGCTTGGGTCATGCCCAGGGATGTGTCACCACGGGGAAAAAAAAGGCTCCCCGACCCTCATCCACGCCAGCGCTCGCCGCTGCCGGGCGATTCCGCAGGGAAACGATTCGGGAGGAAAACGCATTTGGAGGTCGCGCTCCCGACCGTATCCATGTTTTTGGTGCCGGCGAGGGCAGAGCGACTTCCCCAAGGCATCGGGGAGCCGGGTGTGTGTGTGTGTGTGTGTGTGTGCGCGCCGGCAGCGAGGGGCAGCCGGGAAGGGAAAGGGAGGGAGTTGGCACTTTCTGGGAGCGGTGCCGGCGCCCGGGAGGAAGCGGGCACAGGGATTCACGGCACGGACTGCGGGCACAAGGGATTCACGGCACGGACTGCGGGTGTTCCCGTGTGCGGGGCACGTGGGGAAGATGGCAGGGCTGGAGGCACGGGAGGAGCGGGAGGAGGAGGAGGAGGAGGAGGAGGAGGAGGGTGCCCGGGCCTGCCGCGGAGGGCGGCACCGGGCAGGGCACGTGTGCGAGGGGCGGGGGACGGGCACGGGCAGGGAGGGAGGGAGGGAGGCAGGGAGGGAGGGGGACACACGGACCGGGCAAGCCGGGGGGAGGGACGTGTGCCGGGATGGGGTGGGCATGGATCGGGATAGGGGGGGGGGATGCACCGGCATGAAGGGCGGGTGGACACAGGCAGCGGGCAGGGGTGGGCATCCACGGGGATTGGGGGGAGGGAAGGGGGCACAGAGACACAGGGTGGGCACAGGGATAATGGGGGGGGAGGGGGGCACGGGCACCGGGCAGGAGCGGGCATGGGCACCAGGATGGATGGGGATGTACCGGGATGGGGAGGGAGGGGCACAGACACCGGGTAGGCATGTACCGGGACAGGGGGGGGCACACACACACCGGGATGGGCGGCACAAGCACCGGGCCGGAGGGGCCGCAGACCCCCGGGGTCCGGCAACGGGCAGCACTCGGGGAAAGGGGGTGCTCGCCCCGGGACCATCAGAGCCCCGGAGTGTGGGGGGCACAGACACCGGGATGGGGGGGCACAGGCTCCGGGGAAGGGGGTGCTCGCCCCGGGACCATCAGAGCCCCGGAGTGTGGGGGGCATGCACCGGGATGGGGGGACATAGGCTCCGGGAAAGGGGGTGCTCGCCCCGGGACCGGGGAGGGACGGGGGCTCGGCAGAGCCGGGGGTGGGAGAGGCAGCGCAGAGCCGGCCGGGGTTCGGGAGGGGTTTTTAGGGGGGGGGGGGGTTGTTCCCCTTTGCGACCCCCGCTTCCCTCCGGCGCGGCTCCCGCCCTCCTCCCCCGGCGCTGCTTGTTTTGAACCGCCCGTTCCCCCCCCCCTCTCCGTTCCCCGTTCCCGGTTTCCCGGCTCCCTCGGGCCGGGCTGGGGCGGGCGGGGAGGAGCCGCGGCCGGGCGGGAACCGGCGCGGTTGTTTTTTTTTTTTTTTGTTAGTTTAATTTTTTTTTTTTGTTTTGGCTCTTTTCCCTTTTTTTTTTTTTCTCCCCCTTCTCTTTTTTTCCCCCTCCCCCGGCTCGGAGGAGGATGGAGGGAGGGAGGGGAAGGAGGGAAGGAAGCCGTGCGGGGGTGGTGGTGGGGTAAGCGGGGGGGGGGGTGATGCCCTCGCCGCTACTCACAGCGCCCGGGGGAGCCCCCGCTCCGAGCCCTTCTCCTCGCCGCCGGCCGGGTTAAAGCTCCCGGGGCCGGGCTGGTGTAAACAACCTCCCCACATGGCTCGGCCCCTTCCTGCGCATTGGCTCCGCCGCTGCCTCGAAATGCAACGCCCCCGCCGGCCCCGGACCCGGCCGCGGCCCCGCCGGGCTCAGCCGGCCCCGGCCCGGGGGTACCCGCGGGGATCCGGGCAGGGGGAGCGGCCCCGCGGTTCGTCCCGCGGCCCCCCTGGTTCTTCCCGGTCCTCCCCGGTTCTTCCCGCTTCCCTCCCCGCTTCCCCCCTGGTTCTGCCCCTGATTCTTCCCTGGTTCCCCCCCCCCCCGCAGCCCCCGAGGCTCCGCTTTTCACCCGAGCGGGCGCGGGGAGGGTCGGTTCTTGTCGCTTCCTGAAGGTGTTTTGCGCTTATAAAGCCTGGGTGGGTTGGTTGGTTGGTTTGGTTTGGTTTTAGTTTATTTTGGGGGGGGGGGTTGGGGTATTTTAAGTTTTGTCCCGTTGGAGGGTTTTGCCTCTGAAGGGCTGGGGCTCCCCCTGCATCCCCTTCTCCAAGGGATGGAGCTCCCCCTTCCCAAGGGATGGAGCTCCCTCTTCCCAAGGGATGGAGCTCCCTCTTCCCAAGGGATGGAGCTCCCCCTTCCCAAGGGATGGAGCTCCCCCTTCCCAAGGGATGGGGCTCCCCCTGCACCCCCTTCCCAAGGGATGGAGCTCCCTCTTCCCAATGGATGGGGCTCCCCTCCTCACCCCCTTCCCAAGGGATGGAGCTCCCTCTTCCCAAGGGATGGGGCTCCCCCTGCTCCCCCTTCTCCAAGGGATGGAGCTCCCTCTTCCCAAGGGATGGAGCTCCCCCTTCCCAAGGGATGGAGCTCCCTCTTCCCAAGGGATGGGGCTCCCCCTGCTCCCCCTTCCCAAGGGATGGGGCTCCCCTCCTCACCCCCTTTTCCAAGGGATGGAGCTCCCCCTTCCCAAGGGATGGGGCTCCCCATCACCTCCTTCCCAAGGGA